ATTTATATCTAAGAAAAAACCAACTGATTGCAAGGACTCGTTGACTCTCTTCAATCCCTCACACCGAGCAGGAAGAAACCTCCAGTAGAACCAGGCTCAGTATGAGCGGCCGTCTGCAGACACTGACTGGTCAGAAGCAGATGTACAGATTCTGACATAAATGAAATAAGATCTTTGCCGCTCGGGACCCTGCAGAATTCTTTGATGCTAAGGATTGACATTTCCATGAGTAACCCAGGATTAGAGTAGTCTTCCCACGGGGCCGAGACACTGGTGGTGAAATAGGCCAGAGGGTGATTGGGACTGAGAATAGTCTGAGTGTGAGGTGGGTCAAAGTTTGCTTGCATGTGGGAATTCGGCTTGGCAAGGAGCCAAATGAAGGAGCTCATGGAAGATGATTGGCTTAATAGTCTTTGCCGGAGGTGCGATGAACATCACAGGTGCTTCAGGTGAAGCTGATAAGTCTTCCAGATTGAATTTTCGCTTAAGCTTCATTACAAAAATTTCACGTTTGGTACAATTCATCCGCCATTACTGAACAAGTTGCTACAATATTTTACAAACATTTAGCTTGAATTGTTAAAACAGGCTGACTTTGGAAGATATATATGCAGCCTCCAAATATTTCAGTCATAACTGATCATTTTGGATTTTTTTTTTTTTATCATTGCAAGACGACGATAAACTATATAGGATTATTCTTAATAACCCAAAATATTTTTTAAATGTTAGCATTTGTTCCTTGTGAACAGCAATATTGATGATAACTATGAAACTTTGATTTTATGCAGCTATTGTGGGCTGTTACTTTAACTAGGGCCCTAAAGTAGCTGTTTTATTTACTTTCAGGTTGGTTTTTTTTGTTTGTTTTTTGTAGACTTATTTTTGTTTGCAGTGTTTGGGCTGCAATGATGCAGCGTTAAAACTTATCTATTACCAACAAATAATTAAATGGATTTATAAGTCATTTTTCTTGTCAGATTTAACCTTATCCAAATAAATGCTACAATTTTAAGCCCATTATACCACGTTTGAAACTGGATGATGCGTTTCAAAATGTTTTCTGGTATAGGTTTTCACTTTATACAAGAACAGCTTTTCTTTATATATTGGAATGCATGTATGTACTGTATGTTGATGTTGTAATGGAACAAAGTGAAGAAAATATTAAAAGTAAGTTTTAAGAACAAAATCCAATGAAATGTATCATTGCTAGAATAAACTGCAAGAAATGTTTCATGTTCTTGATAAAAATGTGCATACTGCTTCACAGTAATGGATTACTTTGTATTATTTTGTTACCGTATATAATCCCAAGTAAATAGATGTAAAACTGTGGCTGTGATAAGAAATGTCAATTTTTAACATTATTTATTATACATTTTGGGAATTATCAAAAGAAATACTTTACGTTATTGATTTAATTGCTGTATTGTTGAATTTTGGTACTTCTATTTCTGCCTTCTAAGGACTTTTAAATCCTGACAGTAAAGTCTGCTCACGTGGGTTTCATTCTCTCTCAGATCAGCCATCAGCAGATATGTACCATACCTGGGTGTGCTGCTCTGCATCCCTGGCAGAGACCGTTACAGCAGCAGCAGCCTCCAGTCCACGAGACGATCAACATTGACCAGTCAATCAGAGTGTAAAGGCACCGGCGGGCACCACAACTCTTCCCAGTCTGAGAGCGAATCAGTGAGTGTACCTCATGTCTAATCTGGTATGTCTCTGTCTCACTCTTCCATCCACAACAGAAACCTTGTAGGAGTCATTGATTTTTGGTTTCGTGTCGTTGCAGGCGCACTTCTCGGACACCGAGGAGGACTGCTCTTCTCGGACTCCTGTCAGTCGTCACTTGTCTGTTGATGTCAAACAGTTTCGCCATGCCAGCCAGAGATCAAAGGTGAGTGATCGCAGCACTCACAGAGAGATTGAGAGAATTGCTGCCCTCGACACCAATGACTCGGCAATTTGTCATCTATCACAGCTCACTGTGAGTACGGGGGAATTATCCATGTCAACACTATTCCAAACACAATTTCAAAAGTGTATATAATTATGGTTTCATTGGGGTCTTTTGGATCTTATTCAGTATATGCAGTTTAGGGTTGTTTTCATAAAAGGTTTTCCCAGTTCTTCATTCTGTTGAAGTTGATTTAGTTTTCCTAAATTAAAGATCTAAAATCACTGATCTAGTATCCAAGTATTGGTTAACTTAAATAGATCATGTCTAGTTTTGTGAAATTATAAAGAAATGTTAGTTAGAGCTCTTCTTTGGCCGTGTTGTCTTTGGTAGTAAAGGTTGCTGGTTTGAGCAAAACATTTGTCTTGTATTCAAAAATTATATCGATAAATGAAATGGTTAAAAAAAAGTTATTGAGGTTTAAAATTATACTAATGTACATCATATATTTAATTTGTAAATTAAAATGATATAAATGAGTCGGCATTTAAGTAGATGATAAAGGCATTAAAGTATTTATTGTCCTTTATTTTTTATTTTTTGTTTTAAAGAGAATAATCGGTTAATCAAAATCTCACTTTATGATTTAAAAGGAGTCCCTCTGCTCTCTGCTGGAGGACCAAATTTGATACATATATTAGATACCTCTACCAGGTCTCCCTTGCAAAAGAGATTTTTAATCTCAATGGATATTACCTGGTTAAATAAAGGATAAATAAAAAAAAACAAAAATAAATAAACAACAGGGAAATATCTCCTGCAGGATTGAATAGAAAGAAAAAAACAGTCGCTAACTGTAGGCGGGTAGCAGAGTAGAGATCAACCGATACAGGGGTTTTTAATCCCTGTTACGCAAGTCTCAATTTAAACTAAACATTTATTAAGAAATCTAACAAAACATCAAAATGGATAGCGAATTGAGGTAGCTGCAGTGCATGCATTTCAAGTGATCTAAAGACGTGGCAGCTGAATGCACTAATGGATTTCAGAGTGCATGCAGGTACTGGCCGATGCTGAAGCAGGAAGAAATGGGTCTGAAATATTGGTTTACTAATCTATCTATCTCCAATTATAAGTGTTTCCAAATTGATTGTATCTTCTAAGTTTATTCTATCGCCATTTCTTTTCATGTAATAGATTACAAAAATATCTCTGCAAAGAAAGCATAAAACCTGTTAAGGCTTTATCTAACTCTACCAAGAGCAGCATCACACTAAGTGTTGTTTCCTGCTCCTAAATGAGTCATAGATATTGATAGAGGATATCAAGCTTTATGCACCCACTTTTATATCAATAAGAATATCTTTCACTCACACCTAATTGGTAGATCATATGCTAACAGCAAATGAGAAGTGTTTTGTGAGGCAGACCTATCTTTCTTCAGAGATATTGTGCTGTTTTATTATCGCAAGCTCTTTTGAGACATCTCTACGGAGAAGTCAAGGTCTAATCTCCCTCCAGATCATCCACTCAAAGGCGGGAAAAAAAATAAATCTGTTATAATAGTAGTAATATAGAGCACTGCCATACCTTAGCATGAGATTAAATCATACAAATATCAGGTCACGGCTGTTATGTTTATGAAACAGTCAACAGTCATCTCTTTTGTTCCACTTCGGAGTATAACTGGCATCTATGATTATGTACAGTATGAGTAGTAACTCTCATGCCACAAAGTACTTTAAAATGAAAGAACTCTCTCAGCCTAGATTTGCTTTATTTCATATAACTTACCTTGTGCTACAGTCTGAGATGATAGAAAGGCAATGTGTGCAGAAGTTACATCTTGTTGTTAATGGAAAGCTTTCAGTTGTACATGTCCTAACACTTTTATAAAGTGCAGTGTTATTATTAGGTGAAACAACATATGAAGTTGGACAAATATAAAGGCACAAAAAGTCAAGAATTGTTTTTGTGTAACATTTGAGTGGAGTTTAATAAACCATGAAATTATCCAGATTACAGATTGCTTAAAAATTGTAAAACAAACAGAAAAACCCCTGTAGGCCTGTTAGTGTTTCAAAAGTAGAAGGTCAGAGGTGGGTTAGACAGCTGGGGCTTTGGTTAGACTCACCAGAGTTACAAGGCCCAAAGTGTGAATGTGTCTTAAGCTGTCAGAAACACTAAATCATCCACTGCAACAAGGGGTGCAGGTGAGAGACAAAAGCAAACTCCAAAATACCACATAGCCCCAGCAGTAAGGGTCAACTCAGCAGGTCTGGACACATGCATTTTTATCCACCGTTACCCAGTGAAAGGTCATCAGCAGGGGACATCTGTTTCCAACACATGGGAGGGTAATATAGTTGTTAGTTTGAAGGAAGCTAGCTAAAGTGGATCTCACCTGCTGTAGGTGCTGGTCAATGCACTCACAGTTTGGGGTATCAGCGGGATTTACTACAAGAAGTTCAGAAGGTGAAGGATGTTTCCTTTTAGCACCAAACTATTTTTATATCCTTGCCCGTGCCTGGTCAGAAATCCCCAATGCTTTGTCATGCCAAACTCATAAGTACTCCCAACAAACCAGAATATCCCTTCAATGACTGTAGTCTGACCCATTTTCAGTGTGTTATACAACAGATGTGATTGCCAGCAGGGCCAAGATCTACATTTTTGCGGCACGGCTCATCCCTGATCCATGATCTAATACAGCATTAATATTCTATGTGCATTCCGGCTTATGCAAATAATAGCATTAGAGTAGTTAGTCATAAAGATATTTTTTATTTTGACATTACTTGCATCTTTATATTTGTTTTTAGTAAACATTTTCACTCTGCCTTGTTCCTTATGGCATTTGCTTAAATGTGCCCTTGCGAAAAAAATTCATAACGGTTTCATGTTGAGAAGAATTAACTCCAAAAAACTATCTACCACAATGAATCGCAAAACTGCAGTCGAAACACTTTTTCTACATCACATGATCTGCACCTTACTACCTTGTAAAAAGATGAAGACAGGTGCACATTTGTAATGGAAACGCACCTACTATGTACAATGAGTACAGAAACTGCCAACCCAACAACCCAATCCTAATAATTGTCTAAGCACATTTACACAAAAATGGCTATTAACTTCTCACTTTTTAGCCATATTTTCACGTTGTTTTAACAAAAGAAATTTCTTTATTAGCCCAAATATTGAAGCGAATTCTTTAACGAAAAAAACAGAGCCTCTGATTTTGTTTAACAAATCATTCTCAGGCACGGAAACTGGTGTGATAAAACCTGTGATGCTGCACTTCTGCAAAGAGTTAGGTCATTAAATGTGGGCCACTATGTATATAGAGTATTTTTCATCCCCTATAATCATCTTTGTTGGCAGAAAAGAAAAAACACTAGTAACCTATTTATATTATAACACGCAAACTCTCACAAACAGACTGGCTGCAATGCAGGTCAGGTTTACCAAGGAGTCCATTACAGACAGCCTGAACGCTAATCCAGTAATCTGGGACTTTCTGTGTTAATCCACAGTTTGCATGATGTGGTATGATGTTTCAGCATATGGCAGCAGCTGACAGATGAGGACGTTCTTTAATCTCGACATAAATTATAATTATATATATATTTTTTTTTGAAAGTTCATAATCCAGATTGTGACAAATTCTACAGGTTTTACATATAAGGTTCAGTTTTTGGTTTGACAACTAAGGACTAAACATTTTAAGAATGACGTCTGAAGAATGCCTCTGCAGAAAAAAAATTGGATCAAATTTTAAGTCTTATTAATAAATCAGATAAATTTTCTGACTTTGGAACAGATGAGTAAGAAAAGTCTGTACGGGGTCTGTGCAGACCACGGAGTCCGCTGACGTTACTGAACCTCACAAGATGGATGTCAATTACAAGACAGTTTTAATTACCTTATGAAGGCCTGTCATGGAAACCTGTTTTCTCCTTTAAATATTCAACAGTAGGTTTTTGTTTTTTTATTTTTTTGCATTAGTGAGGAAAATGTTCAGGTTTAAGAGATTGATTCTTCAAGACTGACTGTTAATACATGTATAATTATTTATATGTATACATAATTGTGTGTTTAATAATATTTACAGTATATGTTTAACAACGTGACCAGCTATATATATCTGCATTAAATAGGTTTTTATGCTACTGTGAGTAAATGTACATTTTAAGACCTACCTTCCTTAATATTTTTGGGAAAAAGATTAAATATGTTGCCTATGATAAAAACTTATCTACCTAGATGAATTCTTTTTCTGTTTTGTTTTATTAAAAAAAACAATTAGCCTACAGGCAGAAATATCTGAAACTGATCACAAGATGGAAAAAATAAAATAAAATGGAGAAAGGCAAAAACAATAATTGTAATTAACTTTAGCTTTTTGGCCCGCATTCAAAATGCTATATGCGAAGAGAAACAGTTGGTGCGTATGACCTTTAACACAACAACCCCACCTTGAAACAAGGTAGTGGAGGCATCATAATGTGGGGTGCTTTTCTTGAAGCAAGCATAGTGGAGCTAACTCTGTTTTTCTTACTTTTTTCAAACTACCAAGCTAAATCTCACTCCAAATAAGGAAATTATTTGCACTAAAAAGCAAAGCACCATTTCCCATTCAACTGTTTGTGTTTGTTTAAACTTGATAAAGCTTCAGAACTAAACAGTGACCAGGTTAGTTTGGATGCTTTGGATTATGAATCTAAAGAATGTTTTGTTTTCACTAAAGTCAGATTTCATAACTCTCTCTAAAAGATTGCCACCTCTTAATATCTGCCCACTGACGATTATGAGCTAATAACTTGATTATATTTGATCTGTGCCAGAAAGGTAGAAAAAAATATTCAAAGATCCAATAGTTTCTGTGAATGTCTTATTTCTGGGGCATTGCTTTCTAACAGAGTATGTGTTTCCGAGCTCCTCCACTCTGTAATCAACTGGCTGACAAAAAATGAAGTGCCAAAAGCTGTTGACTCTTTTGAAATATTTTCTGAAAACATAAAAGTGTTCGGATAGATGCTGAGAATTGCTTCATTATTTCCAGAAAGTCTAGTGTTTTGATTTTTCTTGACATTATTCCATGTTTTTATGCTTCACTTAGATTCCCTGCAATTCTTTTATTATTTTTTTTAAACCTTTAATATACTTTGAAATAACCAGTGCATTTATAGCGCATTGGAAATAAACTTGTCTTGCCTTCCAAAATGAAAGAGAAGTGAACCTAAAAACCTTTTTGTTAAATATTAAAAACTGCCTTAAGATGCACCTTTTATAAAATTAATTTATGTTCATTTGATAAATTACCTTTTCTCAGTTAGAACATTTTAGTTCTTCTACCTAAATACAATTGCTTACAATATTATTCGATTGTCGGTCATCTAGGATGAATGTATCCAATGGATGGCAATGCATCAAAATTCCAACATGTCATCTTTTAAGGAGAGATATCAGAACTAAGTCAGCAGAGATATAAAGCACCTTCGATGTTTATGAGGGGAGATTCACTCACTGTCAGACTGAAGATGTAGATCTAGGCTTAGCAGCCCAAATACCACAAGTGGAGGAAGGGGTTTGGGAATTGTTTGTATGCAGCTTTAGTATTCAGTAACATTATAAATGGGACTCCACACACAAATATAAATAAGACCATTATGCATGAAAAAACGTAGATCTCCAGTTTGTTCGTATAAGAGCATATTCAAAATAATATAGTAATGAAGAACCTGGTGTTGCTTTTCAAGTCATTTTGTGAGATTCTCATCCTGCTGGTTTGGCTTCAGTTATTCTCCACATAAATTGCACTATCACTTTGAAATGTGCGCTTAAACTTGGAAAACAAATGTTTTTAACTACAGCGGGTGTGACAGGGTTAGCCATTAATTCCTGTGACAACACCTGTATCTTTTGGCATTAGAAAATAACACAATGATAAATCTTTAAAGTTCCCATTTAACATGTACAATTTCACTGACAAAAAATATATAAAAAAGATACAAAATGTGTGCAAACACATGTATAATATTATGTTTAATCACTTTCTGATCCAAATTTACTATTATGTTGGTAGTTTCTAGATGCATTTTTTTACCCTATTGTTCGTGCCCTCCTGGCATATAAACATTTTCTAAATCAGTTGGGTGGTTGGGACACCTTGTCTGCAGCTATTTTCAAGTTAGATTCAGGCTAAAGACTTAAAGATGTATTTAGAATATTTTATGATTGTTGTTTCCACCTCCACAATAAACAAAGCTAAATCTGTAGATGGGTAACTTGAGACGATGGTAAATAGCCTGTACTTGTATAGAGATTTTTCAGGTCAGGAGACTTGACCAAAGTGCTTTACGCTACTGTACATTCGTCGTTCACCCATTCACGCACAAACTGATGGTGGCAAACTACATTGTAGCCACAGCTACGTTGTCACATGTTATACTGCTTTATTTATATTTTTTTTTTCAGTGTTTTTTTTTTTTCAGTTTTCCAATTTATAAAAGACCAACTGATTTGCCCAGCTAACTATATACTAAGGATGGTTTTGTGTACGCTTTTGTTGACTTATACCTTTGTACAGCTGATCATTTTTGTTATCCCTTTTGAAGTCTCTACTAACTAAGATGTATAATTGAAGGAATCAAATCAAGGAAAGCACAGAAAACCTGCATGAGCAGCTGAAATGTATTTATTTTTTTAGGCAGCTACCCTGGATAAATGAAATGTATACATTTAATCAAAAGTTGCTAAGATGAAGTATTAGTGTAATAGTCTTCCGAGATATACAAACAAGTTTGTTTTAGTTTTTTAGATTTTACCCTCCAGCAGATTCTCATTTTCCTATTGAAAAATCTGAATAAATGACACATTAGATTGCGAAAAGAACTGACAAGATTTACATTTATGTCAGACCTTTTATATCAGCTGTCAGTGAGGATCTACAAGTTGAAACACTTAACATGACAAACTACAAGTCTCGAATGGCCCCAACTGAAAATGTGTCTGTCCATATATGAAATCATTTAAAATGGGAAAAGCACTAAAACTGTTTTTATTTGCTACTGTTCAGACTCTGACAGAGCCTGAAGACATCTGCATGATGGAGATCAACCGGCAGCCAACCAGCCATCTACGTGCTAGTGTAAGAATCCACTAATAACTCACTAATTCTTATTAATGGATATCAAATAATCTAGTTTTTAAACAGCCAAATCATCTACAAATTAATCTGGTAAATATTTTTTGCCATTTTTATCTTTACACAGATACTAATGTAACAGTGTCTGTCATTCAAACTTTGATGTTCATACATTTTTTGTTCTTCTGGATTGTTGCAGTCTTTTGTAGTGTATAGGAGAGCCAGTAACTCTGGTCAAGGTTCAGCTGTATATTTGCAAGTCAAGAACAAAGGACAGACCTTTAAAGACCAAAATGTACATATTTTGGACAGAGAAGAAAAATTGTTTGAAAGAGGGGTGATGGAGGCAAAATTTGTGGAAATCACTGAACAGATGGGGAGTATTGAGGTTGCCTATTGAAATAGGCACCAGCACGCCTCACGACCCCAGCAGGGACAAGCGTGACAGAAAATGGATGGATGGATGGATGGATGGATGGATGGATGGATGGATGGATGGATGGATGGATGGATGGATGGATNTGGATGGATGGATGGATGGATGGATGGATGGATGGATGGATGGATGGATGGATGGATGGATGGATGGATGGATGGATGGAACAAGAGGGATTTTCATGTGTTTGTGAACTCATGAAAACCATAAGAATACAGCTTGCAGATAATGCAAAATAGATTTTTTTTAAATAAAATCATCAGTAATGAAAATGTTTTATTGGATAAAGAAACTGTTTTCTTTTTCTTTTTAGATATGGTACAGTAGCTTTATTAGCTCTTTTAAATACCACCTGATGTTTGAAAATGCATGTTTTTGTGCTTGAGTAATGGATCAAGTAAATGTTTTGGTTTAGGATCAGTTCTTTAAAGGTTCATAAGTAAAACCATATATTATTATATATTGTTACACTTTATATTACATTTATATTATAAACACATATAAAATATTTCTAACAACTAGGGGAATAGAGTTTATGCAGCCACAGGACAATACACTAAATTCACGAGAAATTTACCTTTTCAAAAACACAAAGAATATAGAAAGATAATTAGGATGTTAAGTGCCTCTAGCCTGTCCAATAATTGGCTCCTACTTTATATTTCAGCTGTGTTTATATTGGAAAAAATAGAAATCTTGTTAGAATATTAATGTTTGCCAGCTTCTACTTATCCTGTCTCATGATCTGTTAACCAAACAAACAAAAATCTATTTCTTTTTCAGTTCAGTAGCTTTTATTTGTCCCAATATGGGCAATTTCTGTGCAGTAGTAGTACACTTGTCACACACATGTTCACATTACACTAATAAAAAATAAAAGAAACAGAAGAAACACATAAAATATTTTAAAAAGATAAAAGTAAGGTGGATAAAAGAGAGAAAAAAAATGTGCAGTACAGGGGAAAAGTAAGTTGATTTCCTTAACTCTGTCTTAGTTTGAAAAGAAATAAACTAAAGCAAGTATTTTTTTCTTGAAAAAAGGTGTATTTTTTTTCTTAAATTGAGTATTTAAGTGAGACACTTTGCCAATAGGACAAGACAATTTACATGTAAAAGAAGGAAAAAATTTAGCATTGTTATTTCAAGTGTATATTATCTAAACATCTTATTTTTACAGTAAACATCTTATTTTCCTGCTCAAATGAAGGGTTAATATATTTGTTATTTCTAGATCATTTTTGCAGTTTAGAAGATGCTTTTAATAACTTGATCTGATTGTAAACATTTCATAACAGTTAAAATTAGGGAAGGTTTGTCTAGTCTTTAAGGTTTTACTCAAATTATTCACCCTCACTGATCACCTGCTGACAAATATACTCAAAATCTTCTTCCTCTCTATGTCACAGATGGATAGCATGATAAGGGAACCTGGACCAAAGACAGTTTCCAAGAACACGTCATCCATCATTGTCACCTCCATATCTACCCCGTCCATACTGCACAGTCCTCCTGGTTACCACGGGAGCCTAAAAGTGGCTAAAACTGTCACTCCGGTCAGTAAGGAGCTACTGGACATCGCTAAACTGGAGACAACGGTGTTACCGTGAACAGGCTACAGTTTAGCACTGTGTCGTGCTGTCCCCCTTCTAAGGAGGAACTTGTAACCATACTGTATGCCATTTGATAGTTATGATAACTGGAAAATTTTGCATGCAGTTAAAATGTATTTAAATCAAAATGCCCAGGAAATGTAGTGGATGTGTGTCTGCACTATAGGCATGGGTCATTCTCAGTCTAGATAAATACATTCCAAGGTTCAGAAAGGTTGTGTGAAATGTATTACAGATGAGGCACAAACTCATCTGGAGTCACAGGAACAGATTGATCAGAAAATGGATGCTTCTGTCACCGTTTTAACGCTTTTAATGCATGAAGTTGTTTTTAAAGCCTTTCATTAGGCTACAATCAATCCACATGCTTCAACAATATGAACAAAACAACATTTAACATCAGTTCTGTTTATTTCTTTCATTTACAGTAGTCATATGGGTTTTTTTTTGGTTTTAGTTTTCTGTTTTATTTCTTTCTTTTATAAAATTTGAAAAAAATCATATACTTTATCATTGTTATTTGCAGTCCATGGAGGCAGTGTGCTTTAATCAAGTCTTTTTGAAATCTCCTGGTTGACCTTCACCTTTGCCTTGTGAGTGTTGATGTTCTGTTTTTGAAGTGGCCTGACCAGCTCTCTCGCTCAGCTGTTGCTTTGTCGTCTCAATGTAGGATAAAGTAGGGAAGCCAGACTCCACTTTTTCATGGCACCATTGTCACCTTTTTGGCATTTTTTTCTTGTAGCAGAAAATGCAGCTACAGCTAGGGATTTACTCCCACTCACTTTTTTAAGATAACAGAATTTTCAAACTAATGATCTACCGTGTTAACTAGTAACATACTAAGGCAGATTGTTTGAAAACTAAATTAGTAATTTTGTGCAACAAGAATGCTAAATGTAGATTTGGTCAGAATTGACTTTTTGAGCAACTCACATGCTTGGTTAGAAAAGATCTTGAGCCGGTTTGTTGACTCAACACATCTTACTTTTTTACATGCTGTGGACCCTGCTAGTTTACTTGTAGGTAGGTAGCAATAGGAGCATGAAGGAAATTATTGAATAACAAAAAAGGTTTTAAACTGAAGGTAATCATTTGTTAGGAAACACTTATAAAGCAAAGAATACTTGGTCTATATGTGCAAATCTGTAGCAGCAGGGAGCCCTCGCTCCAGGCTGGGACTGGGAACAATTTTTGGCCCTGGCATTTTTACATCTACTTCGACCCCACAAAAAATAGAAGCACAGTCAAACGCATGCATCTAAAATTTGAAACACAATACGAATACACATTGTGGATTAACCAACCTATCTTTAAGCATCACATGACAACCATCACCGAGACTTCCATAATGCAGTTTTACTGGCTTTGGTTATTAACACGGATGCGACAGTGACTGCTGTTGCATAACGTCCTCACTTGCACTAAGCCAGCCAGACACCCACTCACACACACTAGGTCTACAACGTAACTCACTTGTTGACGTCTTCAGGATGCCTGCTGCTGACACAACAAGGATGCGATAACCCTCTTACTGGTCCATAGCGATTCGCATCTGTGCATTCGCGGAGCTGCCCACTTCACTCCTGTTCCTCAATGCGCTGTTTTATATGTTGCCAATCCCCCTTACCTAAGTTAGCCACGAACGTTCAATACCACTCCTGCAACAAAGCTTTTAACCATGAGCAAGCTGAACAGCTCAGTTTGAACTGTTATGGTACGTTCACACCGCATGCAATTAAAGCAGCAGAAGCAGCTTGTTTACATGCAAAGTCAATGGCTGAATCGCATCAAGGACGCTCTTGATGCACATCTGACCTTAATGTGTACAAACTTCAAAAATCAAGCAGCAGGTGCATTTTTGCTGCCTAAAGCGCATCCGGTTTGAATGCAGCATTAGCCATGCCTCTAATCATGCCTCTAACCTTCATTGAGAAACTTACCTCCCACTCTGGGTGAAGGTGAAAAATCCCACATCTCATAGTAAAAGTATGAAGATACCTGTCTGGGAGGACTACAGCAAAGTCCAGATTCAGTCCAAGGAAGCCCCCGCAGAGCCCTCCACTTCAAGTAGGCTGGTCCATAATTTACACGGCTAGCTTCCGTCTTTGGTCATTCTTGGGTTTCACCGGTTTCAAGTCGTAATACATTTTTTGTGTAATGCACCTTAAAGATGAATTACCTACAGACCTGTTATCATATTTTGTGTTTTCCAGCCTTTATTTTGATCTGATATGATTTTCTGCTTACAGATAATGAAGATATCATATTTAAGGTTATCATATTACATCAGATCCCTGAAAGATACGCTTTTACATACAGAAATGTGGGGTGTAAAAAAATATATGTTAATTGTAAAATTATCCAATTGTAATGCACATTCTAGTTCCTATTATGATACGGGTTTTAATCCCATGCTGGCCCATGCCTATAGTATGCAGAACAATGTTAAACTTTTTCATATCATCATCATTAAAGATTTACCTCAATGTTGAAAGGAAGAAATCAGCCTTAAAATAACTGTGTCAAGGATTGTTGGAAGACTTCATGATTTGAAAATTTAAAAAAGCATTTTTTTTCCACGCATATGACCTAAGTGGTTGGTAAAAGTGTCTTTTTTTGTGGGGTTGTTTTGTTAGAAAACAAAATGTCTAAAAATCACAAGATTTCTTGATCATTTTTGCACAATATGTAAGATCTAACCTTTCTATGAATTTTCTAGCTATGTATGCAATTACTGATAGCATGGAAACATGCAGTATTTCCATAAAAAGAATCAGTGATTCATGTTATCGAGCAAAGCTTTGTGATTACTGAAAAGTTTTATTTCTAAGTGAGATATAGATGTATGTACAGTAAAATACATACCACAATGCTAAAGAAAGAAACCTGTTGTTTCATTTTACTCTGTAATTTCTTATCAAAAGGCTGAGGTATCAAATTCAATAAGACATTAAAACATGAAAAATATATGCAAACAACCTTTGCAAAAGAAGAGAAAAGAAGAGAAAAGAAGACATTTATATCCACAAGCTTTCCTTTTCATGTTGCTTTCTGCTGTTTCCACATGCTTGCTAAGTATTGCTGCAAAACGACTGGGCAGGAAGAGGGATTACTGCATACAGTTCCATAAGTAAGAATGAATTGTATATACTCAACTTCAAATCTGTCTCTATTGGACTGAACATTCTTTTTTTTTTGTTAAGTGCCTTGAGACAGCATATAAAACTGAGTTGTGTGTCATAGTAAATCATGCGAAATCTGATTTTAAGGATAAATTTGGAAGAAAAAAAAATACCATTAAAATGATAATATGCAACAAAAGTATATATCTTTTGCATTTGTTGCAAAGATAATTCCACCTATTTTGTGCACCTTTTTTGGGCTCTAAAATATAAAGTCTGTTAACATGCCACAGTAAACTATCAGTAAAATGACACAAATAAACTAGGAACTTCTGTTTTTTATTTATTATTTCTGTTATTTGATTCATTATTTCTAAGAACGTTTTATGATACATGTCATCGTTGTCTTTGATTGTACCTTGATTGTTTTTCCTGACAAGTCCAAATGGAATCAGAAAAAAACAAAAAAAAAAACTCTGACGCTGGGGTGAAATGATAATTTGAAGCTTAATTCAACTTAATGCTCTTTATAGAATTTTCTTTGTCAGTAAACCTGCAAAACATTACATATAGTGTGAACTTTATTGATGTACGGCTGTCCTGTTGACAGTTTAGGTATAAGTTCTAGATGTGATGAATTTAAATTCTGCTTTATTGAAGTGATGGTTTCTTTGATTTTGTTGTACACAATGTTTGTGCTGCTTCTATTTATTTTTCTAATAAAAAATACCAAATTCTACACCATTGCTGAATATATTTGCTAAAAACAGTCTTTGATGTAAGTCACTTTTTTTTTTCTCATGGCCGCATACAGTAAGGGCTGAAACAATCGGACAATTATTGGATTAATTGTCAACTAATTTAGTAATCAAATAATAATTAACTGGAGTATAGAGACTGAAAAACATGCCTTTAGCTGTCAGAGAACCCCACATAGAGCAGGAATTATACTATTCATCTATTTTCTTTACACACTTAATCTCAAGTGGGGTTGTGAGAGGTGCTGGTGCCTATCTCCAGCTGTTAAAGGGTGAGAGGCAGGATACAACCTGGACAGGTTGCCAGTCCATCGCAGGGTAATATAGAGACAAACAGGACAAACAGCCATTCACACACACACCTAAGGACAATTCAGAGAAGCCAATTAACCTAACAGTCATGTTTTTTTTGGGACTGTGGGAGGAAGCCGGAGTACCCAGAGAGAACCCACACATGCTCAGGCCAGGAATTGAACCCAGAACCTTCTTGCTGCAAGGCAGCAGTGCTACACACTGTGCTACTGAGCAGCCACAACAATTATACCAAGATTGTAAAAAATATATATATAACCATTTTGCATTTAAGATAGAAAAAATATTTATTTCTTCTGTCAATATGCTTTATGAAGTTGAAAAGTTTGTTTCACCTGGTTTAATTTAACAAATCTTCTTTGAGGAACCTTTGGCTATTTTATTTTTATTTGAATATTTTTAATCGATTTGCAAAATATTCGTTAGTTGCAGCCTTGGGCAGCATTAGAAATAGGGGTGGCAGAGCAACCCAGAACACGCAAGAAGGACTAGGTCTCCCAGCTGAACTGGGAACACATCAGGCTCTCCCCAGCATGGATGGAGGAGATTCCTGGGGAGAGAGAAGTCTGGAAGTCTCTGCTGAGTTTGTTTCCCCTGCAGCCTGGTCCTGGATAAGCAGAAGACGATTACGAGAACAAGTGGCAGAGCAAAAATCTTTTACTTTTAGTGTTGCTGTCAACAAGTGCTCCACTGGTTAATGCATGAGCAGAAATTGGGAAATTAATCTCATAGAAATCCGCCCCCATGCCTCTGGTCAACAGAGTTGTTATGAATATTAATAAGGAGTACAAGCACTCAGATATTTTATCAAAGAGTGTTAATCTTTTTTCTCACAAAAAAAGTTTATGAAGAGTTGAAAATTAAAGGAAGGCGAATCAAATTTGCAACATCCCACCTGCACAGAACCTTTGACTTCAAACATGTGGGCGCTGGTAAAGGATTCCAAGCCATATCTGGATGTGACATTTAGAAAAGGGTACTGTAGCTTTTAACCACCCATTAAACAGTCTGTAGTTTCTCTTCATTTAACCTTAACAACTGTGGTCGACAGCTAATTAAACTGCTCCATATGACCCACAGTGCCACAGAGAGCAGGAGCTGGATGTGTTTCCAGGGAGTCGGCCAGTTTATTGTTTCCTCTCTCATGCAGAATTAACCTTGAGCTGCAGTAAACCTCGCCAAAAAAAAAAAAAAAAAAAGAACCTGGTAACAGATAATATGGTGCTGGCAGCACCAAGCGATAACACCAAGAGAGAGAGAGAGAAAGAATGTGTTGCAGTAAGAGGGGTCTATATTAGCGACGTGAATCGGGCAGTGAAGCATTCTGGGGCTTCGTGTTACAGACCTTATACGGGGCCAGGGGCCCCAAGTCTCTGTTGCTCTCTGCTATTCTTAGCCTGTGTGTCCCTCAACCTTACCAACCATGAAGGCAACAAGTTCTACGTTAGTTTTGTTTGTTAGTAACATTTAAAGCTTGAGATCCTCACATATTTGGTGTTTCGTGATGATCTTTGGTTTCAGGGTCTGTTTATCGTCGACTGCTCTGCTTTGCTCTGCCCTCTGTGTCCGTATGTGAGTGTCCTTTTTGTGTGTCTAAGAGGTTCCACAGCACCTGACCCCCCCACACACACACAATCACACACCCACACAAACACCATCACCCCACCCCCTGTAGTGTTTGCACTGAGAGCTGGACTCAGACGAAGAGGGACGGCTGTGAAGCTTACCGAGGGTGGAGAAGCCAGCACCCACCAGGGCACCGGGGACTGGGACAAAAAGGATAACCAGCAACAAGGCATAAGGGGGAGAAAGTGCACCGACAGAAGGAGTTGTTAGCAGGAGGAGTGCTGACATTAAACAGAAGATGAGTACATACACAGTGACTCTGAATGGCCCCGCTCCATATGGCTTTAGACTACAGGGAGGAAAGGATTTCAACATGCCCCTCACCATCTCCAGGGTAAGGAAAGAGAACCTCACTGACTGAGGGTTCTCCAGAAAATTGGAAATGAAAAGCAGAAAGCAATGTGCTTTTGATTCTACGCAGAAGCTAAACATTTTTCTCTTGGATGCATGTAAAATCTGGCCCATTATCTCTGTTAACCTGTAAAACTTATGTACCCTACATATGTTTTGCCTTTAATATATTTGGTGATTTGAAACAACTGGCCTAGTCTTAAAAAATAGGTCCTAATTCAACCCTTTGCAGCTCACATTCATGCATGTTCAAACTAAAAGTAGATGCATTGTGAGTGCAGAAAGGTGCAATTTACAGATTAGGGAGTGGCTAATGACAGAGATTATGTAATATCACCATATGGGATGAAGACAAGAGGCTCTGATATGATCTCAGGAGATAGTTCCATAATAGAGCAGCCCTGGAGAAAAGCCACTATACATTTTACAGAGATTTCAACTTTCCCTGCAAAACCTTGAGATTTAATCAGTGCTCCCACCAGTAAAGCGCATTAGAACAAGGTAAAACTGTAATCTTATTGGTCAACATTGCCAAGACAATACAACTGGTGCACATTTCCTCAGTCTACTTTTTATGTACCATCAACAAAGATGTCTGTTCCACTCTCTGTGAGCTTTAGCTTCTTGCCCTGACCATTAGTGAATGGATGGTACCAGAAATATAACATACTATATTATATTTAAGCTCTCATCTGCACATTTATATAGTGCAGCTCTACCTCTATTATTCTAAAGCAAAGTATACAGTTTACTACAATATAGCAGTTTGTATTAATCGCAAAATATATATTAAAAAGTATATAGATAGATTAGTTTTGTTTGTTTGCATTTCTTTTATTTATATGATCCAGTGGCTCTTGGCAAAACCTTCTATCTGCAGCTTAAAAGTATTGATCAGTTTGATCTAAGGACTTTGTCAAAATACATTCTGTATAAATATAGATCAGAATTTTAGACTTAGAAATTATGGAATGAAGTCAGAATGCAAAAATAACTTAGTAAGGAGTTGATAGCAACTGAGTAAGTTAAGCGTACTTAGATACCTTTAATTTCGACACTTTAAACTATGTTTACACTGGGCACAACACAGAACAGGTGACTTCTCCAAAATTTTCATGCAAACATAGTGATTAAACTTCTTCTAAATTTCTGTGCCCCCCCCCCCCTTTATCTTGGCACTCTGAGTGGTGACCCATACCGCTTTTTTAAGAGAAAAAAAAAGAGAAAAAACTATCCAGTGACTATAACTTCAAAACAAAGAATGGTTTAAGGTAGCAAATCCCAGTTAAGCAGAACTCTGGTATGTCTGCTGCTGTATTAAAAGCATTGGCTTTAAATAGCATGAGGGAGAGATGGATGGAGGGGTAGGAAAGAAGTAAGGAGTGCCTAAATGCTAATGACAGCTTGTGTTACCTTTAGTAAGCTTAATTCCTCACTGCTGGTCAGCAAGTTCATCCTCTGGAGTTGAGCCTGTGAAAGACCAGATGAATGAAGGAGGTGAGTGAATAAAGGTGAGATGCTCACCTGTAAGGGGGTAAATTCTCCCCTATCTCCATCTTCTTCGGTCACCAAACACAACTGCTGACACCTGTTCGTTTACTCACCGATCTAAATCTTTGAAAGTTTTTCTGGCCCCCCGCCGCCTTCCTGGTTGTAATGGACCCCAGCAGGTTAAAATAACATAAAACACTGCGACTTGACATGACAGCTCAGGGTGGCATTACAGTTTGACGTAACTCTGCCGGTTGGATTTCCATCCGATTTTGCCAAGAACCAATAAAAGAAAGCAACATGAAGGAAGATCATTCCTTACATACTGTTAGAAAAAGCAAAGAAACCAGTGGAAAAAATTATGATTTAAAATATTTTAATAATGAATAAGAGCTCTTATGTAAATTCCAGTGTTCTTAGCCACTTTAAAAGCTCTCTCTTGGCTCTGAATAAATCAAATTTATTGTCTCTGGTTAGCTGAATTTAGTCAAGATATATAACTAATTAAAAATGTATCTTGGTGAAATATATTTTATCATTAAAACAGGGTCAAGCTATTTATGTTAAGACACGTTAATCCTGGTTTCATATAGCTACAGTACATTTTATGCTTTAACCTGATTTAAATTTATCTTTATTGCAGAGGGCTCTAATTTATGTGAAATAATGCTTAAAAACAGAAAAATCTAACATCTGTTTGATTCCTAAGAGGAGTTTTGTCTTATCTACTTACTACAGTATCACTTAGATTTTTCCAAAAGGGTCTATTTCCTTTTCACTGATCATCCTGATACACCCAGATATCATCCCCTAAATTCAAATAGTTACAAACACAGTAAAAGAGTGCAAAGAGCAGACCAAAGCATAGAGGCTTCAGAGCCTGATAAAGGACGCATTATAGACATGAAATTGATTGAAAAGACTGCTGGTTTTTGAAAACTGGTTAAAGTTTGTATATATTTTCTCTTTTTTATATTCAGCAGTGTTTATCTTTTGTGAAGGTCAGTGGCAGGTGTTTGTGTGTGGGGCAATGAAATTTGGCTCAGCAGAGTCAATAACTATGAAGCCATAGGCATCAACAGCATTTCTTATTTTTAACTCTTTAATGAGTTGACTGTAAGTCTAGACTAACACTGTACTGCTCTGAGCTCACTTTAACATTCTGCCCAGGCTTCACTTTGAGATCAATCAAATTCATGCAACATAAAGCTCATACAGATATTTGCATCCATTAATCATAACCCTTTTGCTGGCTCTGTCCAGCATTAAATATATTTTTTTGATGCATGATGTCATTTTTAGGATGGTTGTTATTAAAATAACGGTATTTGAAATAAACATTTTATACATCTCTCCATAAGTTTCTCATAATAGAACATAACTTTTGTAACTGTGTTTGCTCTGCTCAGATACACTTTTCCAGGTATACTGTCTATAGGACTTAGATCAGGGCTTTGCAATCACCTTTGAACCCTGCTATCCTTAAACGGGATCAGTCACGCACCATCACTACAAATATTTACACCAAGAGCTCAATCTGGTTACAAACAAAGACTGTCATCACTTATGGGGCCCTATTGGCTTATAATATTTTACATTTTGGTTTTGGTCTATATGTTGGTAAACTAAAGCTTTTGAAGTATGTACCCCAACAAGATTGCATGACCGGAGGTAAAATGCATGCAGGAACTGAGTAAACTACAAAGTAATGAAGCCAAATAACTTCCAGAGGAGGTGTTAAAAGAAAGAGAAAGTCCGAGATGACATTTGATGCCAAGAGAATGCGTAAGCACTACACATCAGGTTAAAAAATGACCAAGTAAACATTTTCAGAATGAACAATTGTCATATATAGCTATATTCTAACATAAATATGTGGGTTTTGGTGTATTTGGTGCATGCATAGTGTGTCACCAAACACCTTTTACACTTAAAGTTTGCATGTTTATGGTCATGCTCCACCTGAGGACCCATCTGCCCTCAAGCTTTAGCTTCCTGGCTTTCATCTTAGAGTTTTGATATAATTTTATTTCTTCCAATGTCATTTATTTTGTGAAGTACCCCAGTCCCTCATGCAGCAAACAATCTCCACAAAATAATACAGCCAACCCTGTACTTCAACAGTATTTATGTTTATTACTCAAGTAGAAGTATAAATCCTACTGTTTTAAAAGACGTTTGTAGAAGTTAGAGTATCAACTTAAGGTTTTCACTCAAGTAACGTGTAAAAGTACTAGTTTCAAAACTACTTAAAGTATAAAATAAAAGAAACTTTAAACCTTACACTGCAATACTCACCCTTCAAAGGAACATTTATTTACAATTCTGGTTGATAATTTCCTTTTCCATAATTTTCTTACCTTTATAACTAATGAAAACAGTGCCAAATTAACTTTGCTGTATCCTGTTTGTTCATTTTGGTTATGGCGAACAACAAGTCAGTGCAGCATTGAGTCAAACCACAAAGAAATTAATTGTCTGGATGAAACAAATTAATTTGATGCTTTTGATTTCTTTTAAATACCAACAGACCATAATGTGAATGAGTTTAAATGAAACACAACAAACAAGTCTATTTATAACATGTAAGGAGTAGAAAGTAAAAGTAAAAAAAAAATAATTACTCAAATAAAGTCTAGAATGCCAAACTTTCTACTTAAGGAAGGTAAGGAAGTATTTCTATGGTATATACTTGACACCTTGACACCTCTCTAATTCACTTCCCTTTTCCTCTCATATAATGATTATTATCATGGATAAACTCTCTCTTGTTTCATCACACTACAGGACCCTTTGTATATTAACACCTCTATTTAAACTGGTTCATGTATCCAGTTTTTGATACTTTCATATAATAGTTTGTGTTTTTTAGATTCTTTATATTATATTTTATATTATCTGAACATCTTGCACCAAACTAACTCTGGGACTCAAAATTAATCTTTTTCCTGAACACTCTGATGGCTGGACATTCCCATAGTGTTTATACTTGCATCTAATGGCATCTAAAATGATTTAATTTCTCATATTTGACAAAAAAAATATACCGGTAGCAGAATTCTCAGCTTAATGTTATCTTATAAAACATGTCATAAAAAAGCTTGAAAGCACATGGCTGTTACAGTCAATGGAATTAACTATATATAAACAGTTAATCTTTTGAAAGTATTTTTAAGAATAGGAAAAAAAAACCTATAGCTTATTTTACTAACATTGAAAATAAATAACTTTGACAGTCCTAAGTGACCTAAAACTGGAATAGGATTTATGGTCAAATTCCACGTAAAGTATATATTCTATGTTTTATACACGGCAAATAACAACAATGAATAAAGTAAACAACAAAACATATTAAAATCTATATTAAAACAACTTAATCACTGAAAAAAGTAAAAAAAATATATATATAAAAACTAACAATCTTTTTATATGTTTTGACCACTGCTTTTCCATAAGCATTCAAGGCTTTATGCTACATATAAACTTTATTGAGGGTAAAAGGGAACTAAATCAGATGTCCGAGTTGCTGGGGAGCAGTGATGAGAGTAACGGCGTTGAAAGTAATGGCGTTACTAACGCCGCTACCTTTTTTAGTAACGAGTAATCAAAATTATTACTCTTACTGTAACTATAACGCAGTTACAATTGCCGACACCCCGTTACTGTACGTTACTCAGGTCGCACAATTAACCTTTTTTCATGATAGGACTCGTGCGCGCGTCATGAGAGAGGGGAGGATAGAGAGTGAGGAGGACTCCAGCGGCAAAACAGCACTTTCCAGATGGAAATACTGGTGTTACAGTACGTCGAGCTGCGTTTTCCCATCATATACGGTTTCCCCTGCATCTCCGCACAGCGCGGCGGCACAATTCACCGCGCAAGCGACAGGAAACGCGCATGCTCGCTAAAGGCGCGTAACAGCCGTCCTGTGCTGGTGCCACAGGGGAACAACGGAAAGCGTGAACGATCATTAGCATTAGCATTACATGTTGCAGTATCTATAACAACCCAAACACAGGATTTCAGAATTAGACATCCCCAGTTATTAATTTCATACACTTGCAAAAGTAACGCAATAGTTACTTTTACTACTAACTAGTTACTTTTATTGTGGAGTAACTCAGTTACTAACTCGGTTACTTTTTGGGAGAAGTAACTAGTAACTATAACTAATTACTTTTTCAAAGTAACGTGCCCAACACTGCTGGGGAGCGCCCCTAGTCCCCCCTATTGAGTTTGATGGGTGGAGTTTACAGTTTAACTAATTTCATGCCTAGTCTACCTGTGTGACACAATGAGATAAACAAATAAGGAGTGAAGTTCTTAATTGAAAGAGTGATTTAACGATTTCAAAAAGGTTTATTCAGTTGGATATTCAATTGGAAATTTCATTGTTCAACGTATATTCCATTGTTTAATTATATAATTATTTAACTATATGTACCATTTATGTATAGATGATACATATAATTATTTAATGGTACAACAAATGGTACATTTCTTTATTCAATTCTACATTTTATTATTTGAGTGTATATTTATTCATGTAATAACATATTTACATTTATTTATTTACACAATATAATGAATAAATAACTTCTGAAATAATTATATAAATGTGTCATTAGTTTATCAGAACTGAAATTATAATCAGAATTTACTTATTAACTCAATTCATTATATACATAGTTTGGTCTGTAAAGTGTAAATGAGGTAAAGGGTGCCCGGTCAGTGGGCGGGGCTAATATCGATTCTTCTAAAGTCTGGCAGTAGGAAGTCAGCTCCAGTCCCGGGTCCTTGACTTGGATATGTGACAGTTAAATAAATGAATATATTGCTTCTGCACAGGAGCATGAAATATTTTCTTAAATCATGAAATAATGATATTCACTTTTTAGAATAAAATCAATATATTTGATAGAGGCCCATGTAATGAATTATATATTTTTGAAATAAATGCTGTAATTGTTGCCAGTTTGAATAAATTACTGACATATTTAAATAGTTATTTTAGGATTTTTTTTATTTTTTTATTGTGGCACTCCTAATCCTCCATATCACTCTTCAATTTCTTTGAGTTAAAAAGAAAAGATTCTAATAATACCCAGATTTGCCAACAGATGGAATAAAAGAAATATAGGATTTGATACAAGTTAATTATAGCAATAGTTTGTTAAATAGATCCAGGGGCCAAAAATGTATGACAGAAAGGAACTGTTTTGTTTTTGGTGGATTGTTTAGTACAATCATAATATAGAATTCGAAGTGTGTGTAATTTGCTTTTCATAACCCACTAGATAACCCCTGGCAGCAAGGCAGCAGGCGGCACTCTGGTCCAGGGCGATATCATCTCAGCCATCGACGGGGTCAGCACTGAGGGGATGAGCCACCTGGAGGCCCAGAACAAGATCAAGTCAGCAATCAACAAACTTACTCTCACCATGCAGAAGTAAGCAACAGCATGCCTGAAAAAGAAATAAAAAGCACTAGTTCAAGTTGATGAAGACTAGCACAGGAAAATGTTCAACATAGGATGTTATGTGGAAATAAATTAGTTTGGTAATTTCATTTCTACAGGTCCAGATTTTAGATGCCTCAGGTCTTTGAAAGGCAGCCAACTCTGCTGCTACATAAAAAAAAAACTAAAAACTAAAATAAAAAATCTACACCTTTGAATTAAAAACTTAATAAAGCTTCCAAGATTTTTAGGCCTTGCTCACATGAGAAGAGACTTTTACAAGGTTCCTGTAAACATACAGGGGCATGATTTAAGTCATACGTAAATAACTGAATGATGGGGTAGCTATTCCAGGCAGGAATGTGGTGAGGTAAGAATAAGAACTGAAGAGAGACTTGTAGAGCATGTGCTTATAGTCTACTTTTGTTACCATGGAGATAGACATGTAGACAGTGGCTTAGCTGCTCTGTGCAAACAGAACGTAAGAGCATCAACCAGATGGGCCGTGGTGATTTTTCTTTCAAAAGCAATAAAAAATATGTTTGAAAACTGAGTTTTCCCAGAAAAATGTTAGATGTACAAATTTATATAAATGTAAAGTTAGCTTACATTTCATATTATAGTTAATTCAAACAAAAATGTTCTTTTTTTTTATATCAGTTTTGTTTACCAAAATGGATTAACAGGTGCCTGAATGTAGGGTGTGTGGGTTTAAAACAAATATGTACAAGTATTAGGAAAATCATACCTTTTAAGAAGGAAACTAAGGATGATGGCAGAAGCCAATAGGTTTATACTCTATCATCTCTTATTCCTAGTAAAAATAAAACTTTTAATGAAATTTTTGTTTTCCTCTATTTTTTTTTACTATACATATGTAGGGGGGCGTTTATTCTTTAATGTCTGGATATTTTGTCCATTTTCCTTAAACTTATTAAAGGAAGCTATTATAATATTTATATTAACAAACAAAAACAAATAAAGTTATTTAGAAATTATATGAAGCAAATTTAAAGTTTAATAAACCCAAAGACAACAAGTTTGAGAAGGAATAAATTATCTTTATCCATACAAGCCATCTTAAAGCCAATCTAATATTTTAAGTTTGCTTTTATAGACACTGGTGGTCTTAGTCGTTCACGGCTATTTTTTAAGAATGTTTTAGAGTTGAGAAAAAAATTCTGCCCCTACAAGTTTTAAGTATCAATAAAAAAACTTTTTCAGAAGACTTGAGGGATTTTCAATGGCTGACACTTAAAATCTAGAAGAGCCATTATTGAGTAGAATCAAAGTAATTTAAAACTATTTTAAAACTGTGGTAGCCTATTTCCTTTCCTTTCTACAGTTCAAACCACTAAAAGTTAGATGGGAAAATAAATCTCAGTCAAATCAATAACTTGTGAAAATAAAATGTGTTGTATACGTGTAGATCCAGACGTCCTGTTCCAGTTCCCACGGCAGCTCCAAGGATGGACTCACCAATGCCCGTCATCCCACACCAGAAGGTACAACACACTCCCAATTTGTATTCAAGGAAACAATCAGATAAATCAACCAGTAATGTCTTTTTTTTTTTACAATCTGGGTTTGTGTGGTTTGTCTGCTTATGATAGTGACAACATCTGGAAACTGCTCTGTATCATCAGGCTCAGAGGTCCATCTAGTGTTAGAAATGCATAGTGCAACAAAAAAAACTACTGCAAGGAGGTTTTAGACCAGCAGACCCATATAAGAAAGAAGTTGCTATATTTAATTACACCAAAAACACATGGAAGTTTTACAGTAAGGGATTGCATTTGTCTTTAATCAATTACTGACGACTGAGGACTTTTAAACAACTACATCTGTTCCTTTTTAAAAACTTTCATAAGACTTTAAGAAAAAATAAGCAGGAACTAAAATTTGTATGGTCTTTTTGATCTTATAAACATTTTAATCCTTGGTCTGGTCCTTTTACTCTTTCATTAAAATATAAATTTGTTTTAAAAAAGTCTCTGTGTTCCTTCCCTCCCAACCTGGAGACTTAACCTTTAGTGTTGAGTCTCAGACCAGCTTGTAATAATGATCCTAGTTCAACTGTAGTTCTATCTGCTGCTATTCTGTTACCTTGTTGAAGGCCAGGCATGTTTCTCTGTGCAATCTTCAAAAATAGTATCACACGTGAGAGCGCTGTGCCTTTGGGACAAGTATGGAGGCTTCAGAGAACATTTTCTTCTCATAGAAGAGGTTCTGTGCTGCTTTCAGGATGATGTTTCATTCCTCTTAAAAGGCAAAGCACCACTTTGGTAATATCTGTTTTACTAGACTGGTGCTTGTTTTTTTTTTCTTTGGATTTTGTTGAATATCTGCAGCCTTTTGAGGATGGAGGGAGTTTTCAAGTCTTACTGTACCACAGATTATCAGTTAGATGATAATCTGGATCTACCTCATAACATTTCCGGCATGGTCCTTCTTATCCATGTTAAAGAAACACATCCCTACAGCATGATACTGTCAGCACCATGGCAATATAAACATCTGCGCTCATACTCTTTCACATGGTTGCAGGATCCTCATCAGTTTCATTATTATGTTATAGCTGTAGGCATTTAGACGCCAGATTTTCATTTAGGGACTTGAACGTAAAGGTGGCTAAATATAACTGCATTGCATTTACAAAAAAAAATAATAAATTGTTTGAGAATTTTGAAAACAATCCATAAATAAAACTATAACTACAAATACCTTTGCGAGACACTGAATGTCAGAAGTACTATTTATATTGGATGTGTTTTGGAGTAGAACCTGCTGGTCTGCTAACATCACACCAGGGTATCAGTCTCTGTTAATGTCCTTCCCTTCTGGGGCAGAGCTGGTTTATAGTAACAGCCAAAAGTACACCAGGCTTCAGGAATCAAGCAGCAGGCAGAGTTAAGGATGGTGATCTCATTCATGCCAGTGGCTCCAGCTCTCAGAGGACAGGGACACACACACCCTGATAGGTCAGAGCAGCTGTTGCTCTCTGTAATGGAACTTTCCGATCTGGTTTCAAACCATCATCCTGAATCCCCGGGATGCCGTCCCAAAGATAAGGCACCCCCAGTCTATACCATGACATACCAACTTTATTTATGAAGCACTTTATACACCGGACAGGACCAAAGTGCTGTACACAATCATAAAACACAATGCAATTATAAAATAGAAAGGATCAAGTATAAAATATATATTAGTATACAAACAGAATAAAACAAAGAGAAACCTCTCAAATTGTGCCAAAAGCCAAGGAAAAAAGACGAGTCTATAGGGAGATGTCTTATATATTTTTTATTAGTGTACAGAGAGAAAAAATTCTTGCCGAATCGATAAATACTGTATTTAACTTTCTGTATAAAGTAGTAATTGTAGCTGGTATTCATCTATGATATGACTCTACTGTATTATATGATTTGTGATGTTAGTTTGCATTAAGATAATTCAATTTTGTAAAAACATATGAAAGCAAGGGAAAGGCTAAGTGTCTTTAAGATGTATGTTTTTCCCATCTAAAAACACATACAGGTAATATCAACATTTTTGGGTAGCTAAAATAATTTAACTACAGACAATTGCATTATGTGTTATAATATGTAATATTATATCCTCAAAACAAGTGTTTGCTGTTTATTATTAGGTAGTTCCGTCATAACATCTACTGGTAGATGCTAACACAAAGGGCAGGATTTACAAAGATATAAAATAAGAAAATAGTAGGAATGTTTCAGGTGATCTTGTAAGAATGAGAGCTGAGAGCACCAAATGTGGTGCAGATCGCCCTGTTTAGATAAACATTCTGTTTGTGCTACTGGCATCCACTATGGAGATTTTTGTGAAGCAGAATAAGTTTACTTTGCATGTCTAAAAGACAGCCACAGTTCGCAACAGCACTGCACACAGCTGG